AGTAGCTGGGATTATAGGCGTCTGCCACAACACCTGGCCATTTTTTTTGGGGGGGGGAGGGGTTTGGTCTCAAACTCATGAGCTCAAGCAATCCACCTGCATTGGCCTCCCAAGGTGCTAGGATTACAAGCGTGAGCCACTGTGCCCAGCCTTCTCTTCTTATTCTATATTGTTTCAATTAGTGTTTCTAAATTCCATTATGGGTATATTGACTGGAAGTATAGTTGGATCTAATACAATTGTTCCTAGGCATTTTGATCTCACAGTCCATGAAAAGAAAAATTGAAAAGAAGATAGAGGGAGAACGTTTATTGATAAGACTGACATAGGGTTGCCACCATTTCACTTTCCTAAATAAACACATTTTTTAAGACCTACTAGCAGGTGGCACCTGTGGCTCATGGGTAGGGTGCCAGCCCCATATACCGAGGGTGGCGGGTTCAAACCAAGCCAAACCCAGCCAAACTGCAACAAAAAAATAGCCAGGTGTTGTGGCAGGCCCCTGTAGTCCCAGCTACTCAGGAGGCTGAAGCAGAAGAATCACCTAAGCCCAGGAGTTGGAGGTTGCTGTGAGCTGTGACACAACAGCACTCTACCAACGGAGATAAAGTGAGATTTTGTCTCTACAAAAAAACAAATAAATAAATAATAAAATAAAATCTAGCCATTATTTCATGAAAGAAAAAATTTGACCACTTTAAAAGCAAAACTTAAGAATAGAGTATATTCCTTTAAAATGAATACAATTTAATTTTACTACTCACTTTTCTTTTTTTTCACTTTTAAAATTCTTATTCTTGGCTGAGTGAGTGGCTCAAGCCTGTACTTGAGTGCATCCAAGCACTTTGGGAGGCCAAGGTGTGGATCACCTAAGCTCAGGAGTTCAAGACCAGCCTGAGCAACAGCAAGACCCTGTCTCTATTAAAAATAAAAAAACTAGTTAGCCGTTGTGGTGGGCACCTGTAGTCCCAGCTACTCAGGAGGCTAATTCAAGGGAATTGCTTTGAGCCCAAGAGTTTGAGATTGTTCCATGGCAAGAGAGTAAGACTCTGTCTCAAACAAATAAATAAATAAATTACTTAATTAATTAAATTCTGTGTGTGTGTGTGTGTGTGTGTATGTGTGACAGAATCTCACTTTGTCACTCTTGGTAGAATGCTGTGGAGTCATAGTTTTCAGCAATCTCAAACCCTTGGGCTTAAGCAATTCTCTTGCCTTAGGCTCCCCAGTAGCTGGGTCTACAGGCACCCATCACAATGCCCGGCTGTTTTTATAGACGGGGTCTCTCTCTGGCTCAGGCTGGTCTTAAACCTGTGAGCTCAGAAAATCCATCTGCCTCAGCCTCCCAGAGTGCTAGTATTACAGGCATGAGCTGTAGCACCAAGCCTGAATAAGCTTTGAGTATTTGAGACATTTATTAGATTCATGACCTGTTGAATTAAATACTTAGTTTTTGGTTCCATCATAGTGACAGACCATGAACTACGCTGTGATGTTAAGGTTGATGTGATAGACAGCATCGAAATTGTGTCTCGAAGCCGGGAACTCTACGTAGATGATTCACCACTGGAACTGATGGTGACGGCATTGGATGCTGAAGGTAAAGAGTTTCAGCGGAGTCAACGTTGCCTAAAATAAAATAGTACTTAGTGTTTAGCACTTGGAAACAGAAGCTTGAGTGACAAAAGAATATTAGAAATAATACTTATTTTCTCATTTGGAGCTCATGTAAATGGCTAATGAATAATTCTGAGTATATTTTAATGTATTAGCTATACACGTTTATAAATTTGTCCATTATTATTATTAGTTATCTCAGAACTTTTCTTAAATATCCAAATTCTGCCAATGAGCTTTTGCTGATGGTCCCTAGACCAACAATTAAGAATTTTTTTTGGAATTTATTGCTAGCTTTGTTTTGATCAGTTCACTTTCTTTTCTTTCTTTCTTTCTTTTTTTTTTTTTTTTTTTTGAGATAGAGTCTCAAGTTGTTGCCCTTGGTAGAGTGCTTCAGCATCACAGCTCACAGTTATCTCAAACTCTTGGGCTTAAGTCATTCTCTTGCCTCAGCCTCCCAAATAGCTGGGACTACAGGCACGTGCCCCAACACTTGGCTATTTTTTTGGTTGCAGTTGTCATAGTTTCTTAGCAGGCCTGGGTCGGGTTCCAACCCACCACCCTAGGTGTATGTGGCCCATACCCTGTTGACTGAGCTACCTACAGGTGCCGCCTGATAGTTCCCCCTTTTTTTTTTTTTTGAGACAGAGCCTCAAGCTATCACCCTGGGTAGAGTGCTGTGGCATTACAGCTCACAGCAACCTCCAACACCTGGGCTTAGGCAATTCTCTTGCATCAGCCTCCCGAGTAGCTGAGACTACAGGCATCCACCACAACTCCCGGCTGTTTTTTGCTGTTGTTGCAGTTTGGCGGGGCCAGGTTTAAACCTGCCACCCTCTATATGGGGCCGGTGCCCTACCCACTGAGCCACAGGCGCCGCCCCAATCAGTTCACTTTTTATAGGACAACTAAATGTAAAACTATGAAAAAGTTATAATTTTAAGGTAATCTTTCTTGACATTGTTTTATATTGCTTTTAATACTATAAACTATACTCACAGTATTAAAACACTTAAATTTATTGCCTTTGCAAACTATTTAGTAAAGAGTAACTTTTAAAATCTGGCAAATGAACTATTCTACAATCTACCTTCTGTAAAAATTTCTGTTGAAGAGATCAGGATTAAGGATGCCTGTCTGGCTTGGCACCTGTGGCTCAAGTGGCTAAGGCGACAGCCACATACACCTAAGGTGGCGGGTTTGAATCCAGCCCAGACCCACCAAACAACAATGATGGCTGCAACCAAAAAATAGCCAGACGTTGTGGCGGGCACCTGTGGTCCCAGCTACTTGGGAGGCTGAGGCAGGAGACTCGCTTGAGCCCAGGAGTTGGAGGTTGCTGTGAGCTGTGATGCCACTGCACTCTACCCAGGGGGACAGCTTGAGGCTCTGTCTCAAAAAAAAAGGATGCCTGTCAACTGTAAGGTAGCCTTTATGTTAAAGGAACAGAAAGAATATGGTATAATTTTCGTCAACCAGAGTCCTTGAGTATGAGCTTGAGTCCTTTTACTTTCAGAAAGCTTGTATAGCAACAGTACTTATACCCTATAGGGATCTTCTTCACAAATGTGTTTTAATTCATTCATGGTAGTGCTTCTATTTGTTAATGAAAGAGACCTCAAAATAATTTTCTACTTAGATTTCCCTTCTTGTTGCAGATACTTGAATATTTTTTAATATGTGATTTTGTCCTGTTTTTGGCTTGCTCTACAGGAAATACTTTTAGTAGTTTGGCAGGAATGATGTTTGAGTGGAGCATTGCCCAGGATAATGAGTCAGCAAGAGAAGAACTATCTAGCAAAATGAGGTAAACTGAAAACAAACATAAATCATCTAAATGGAGGAGACATTTGCCATTTATTAGCATACTGAACAGCAGCCATTTGTATGAACTTTGATAATTTCTGTCTAAACTTTATATTCATGTGTTTGTGTTTGTCTGTTCGTCTTGAGAGTCTTGCTTTGTTGCCCAGACTAGAGTATAGTGGCTTCATTGCCCAAACTCCTGGGCTCAAGTGATCCTCCTGTCTTGGCCTCCAAAGTGCTAGGATTACAGGAATAAACTACCATGCCTTGCCTGTCTAGACTTTTTTGAAACAGATAAATTCACTGGGGAAATGTCTTTGATAGAATGACATATGATATAAATATAGGTATCTTCATGATAGCTTAATTTGAGGCATTACAGAGGAGTTCATGAACTCAGTACTATACAATCATTTGAGCATGGTATATTTTCTGGCAGTTTTATTGCTCAAACTGTTTGCACATGCTGAAGTAATCTACCAAGGAGATCTCAGACGATCCAAGTTTTAGTTCCATAACAATTTTAACCAGTGGCACATTATAGTCCTTGTGGAAACTGAGATTTAAAAACTTTTTATACTTGATAGACGTTGTTTAAAGTCTCTTAAAGACTTTTGGAAGAAGACATTGTTTGATTGCACTAGAAACAAATCTCGGCTTGGCCCTGTAGCTCAGTGGTTAGGGCGCCAGACACATATACCAGGGCTGGCAGGTTTGAACCCAGCCTGGGCCTGCCAAACAACAATGACAACCACAACAACAACAACAAAACAGCTGGGCATTATGACAGATGTCTGTAGTCCCAGCTATTTGGGAGCCTGAGGCAAGAGAATCACTTAAGCCCAAGAATTTGAGTTTACTGTGAGCTGTGACACCATGGCACTCTACTGAGGGTGACACAGTGAGATTCTATGTCAAAAATAATAATAATAATAATGATAATAAATAAATCTAGGTGGCACCTGTGACTCAAAAGAATAGGGCACTGGCCCCATATACCAGAGATGGCAGGTTCAAACCCAGCCCCAGCCAAAAACTACAAAAAAAAAAAGAAAGAAAGAAATCTCATTTTTTAATCTTTAGGATTCTGAAATACTCTGAAGCAGAATATTCTCCTCCAGTCTATATAGCTGAAATGGAAAAAGAAGACAAACAAGGAGATATGATTTTGGTGTCTGGGATTAGAACTGGTGCTGCTATTGTAAAAGTTCGAATTCATGAACCATTCTATAAGGTAAATTTTTTGCACTTTCATCTAATAGTCTACCTATGGAAAATATAGTTTCTTATGTCTATCGATAGTAGAAGCCCTCCAACCCAATGTGATTTGGACCAATAGTTGGCCATTTAATTGAAAAAGTCATTTGAAGTAGGTAAGCATTAAACAAAAACTTGTCTTCCTTAAACATTTTATTAACAAATTATAAGAAAAAATATAGCCGATATTTTCTTTTTTGTTGCAGTTTGGCCAGGGCTGGGGCTTGAACCCACCACCCTTGGCACATGTGGCCGGCACCCTACTCCCTGATCCACAGGCGCTGCCCGACATTTTCTTTTAAAACATACAACTGCATTTTTTTTTTACTGTAGGTCTTTTTTTGTTTTTTGAGACTGTCTTACTATGTTGCCCTGAGTAGAGTGCTGTGACATCCCATTTCACAGCAACCTCCAACTCTCGGGCTTAAGCAATTCTCTTGCCTCAGCCTCCCAAGTAGCTGGGACTACAGGTGCTTGCCACAACACCTGAGTATTCTTTTGTTGTAATTGTCATTGTTGTGTAGCAGGTGTGGGCCCTGTTCGAACCCACTAGCCCCAGTGTATGTGGCCAGTGCCCTAACCACTGACCTTACAGGCGCCAAGCCTGAAGGTCTTATGTAACTACATTTTATTTACCAATCTTTTTTTTTCTTAGCACATAGAATTTTTATTCAATACTTATTGAAAGAGTCCTTTTAGACTTAATTGGACATCGATTTTTCTGATATATCTCTTCAGTGCTTACACAAAAAGGAAAATAGGAGCAGAAAAATTGATTAAACTCGCTCACATTCAAATTCCAACTCCTCAATCACATGCTGACCTAGTCTTGGGGGTGCCCCTGTGTTGCCACACAAAATTGTCTTCTGTGCTATCGGGGTGCTGGGGAGGCAGCCTTTCTTTAAGGAATTTACTTTTTAAAAAGCCTTTGGATGCTAAAGTCCACTTGGGACTCCAATTTAGGCAATGTAGGTAATCTAGGTAATCCCCACCCCTTCCCCATTCCTACCAAATTCTAGAGATTAAAGAGGTGGGTCCCTGTTACCTTAGGAGAGGATATCTCTTCTCAAATGCTGACACCCTACGGGTATGGTGGTGTAACATGAGACACCTTGATTTAAGAGACTGAAATGTGAATTAAATATGGATATATATATACTTTTTTTTGGTTTTAATTAAATCATCACTGTGTACATTAATGCAGTCATGGGGTACAGTGTGCTGGTTTTATATACAATTTGAAATATTTTCATCAAACTGGTTAACATAGCCTTCATGGCATTTTCTTAGTCACTATATTAAGACATTTATATTCTACATTTAGTAAGTTTCACATGTACCCTTGTAAGATGCATCGTAGGTGCGGTTCCACCAGTTACCCTCCCTCCACCCATTCTGCCCCCTCCCCTCCCCTCCCTTTCCCCTTTCCTTATATTCTTGGGATATAATTGGGTATAACTGAGTGCATTCATATTATTTACCAATATATATATATATTTTTTGAGACGGAGCCTCAAGCTATCCCCCTGGGTAGAGTGCCATGGCATCCCAGCTCACAGCAACCTCCAACTCCTGGGCTCA